ACAGTGAACTATGAGTTACACAGACCCCATCTCTAAGAGTTCTCAGAGAAAATAAATGCGATGATCAAAATTCTCTCAGCTTCCTGACCCTGGGCCGTCATGCGTGCCCGCCTCCACACCCAATGAGCCCCTCCTGTCTGGGCAGAGGCCGCCTGTCCTGGTCTGATCTGCTCTTTCCCTTTCCAGGGACCTTGTCCTGTTGGCTGTCTTCTCCTTCCAGATGTCATTCCTTTAGTCTGCACCCATCAGCATGTAAACACACTGAAGCATTTTCTGTTTTTTAGGACTCACTTCAAACCCATCACCCTCCAAATACCTCCTTGCAACCTCTCCACCCCCTACCAGCCCTTGGAAAGCATCTGCACCCACTGCCTCTCCTTCACCTGAGCAAAGGAGAAAGACAGACAAGCCCAGATGCCTTTGTGTCTGTCTGTCCTTAATTTTTAACAGGCAAACTAGGACTTTCTATCTATAGCTGTCAGCCCTCTCGTGGATTGCTGCTTTCTGTCGCATGACCTTTCCTTTTCATCTTGTTGCATTAACTTACTGTGGACAGATGGCAGTTGGCATTGCTTTGGGGCCTCCTCCTGTGTCAGCTGACTATAACTGATCATCCTTTGGATGTTTTCCAGTATGTCTTAGAGGCTGAAAAACTGTCACCTTATTTAGGCCTCTTTTATTTAAAGGTTAACCACAAAGTTTTTTAGTAGTTTACAATCTGTTTTCAGAAGCACAGTGCAGCAGCTTGGAGAGACAGATTTCAGATGCCACCTGGGGACCTGAAAGGATTGGGCTACTGGCCCCTGAGGCGTCCTTTGGCCACTCCGCTGCAGAGGGGGCCTATTGAAACTGTGCCAGCCAGGTAGTGGGAAAGGGTGCTTATCTCTGACTGTTAGTAATCCTGGGTCCTTTTATGTTTGCCAGGTTCTTACACGGCACCAAGAGGCTGCAGAGCTGTGAAAACAACTCACCTCCAGTGTAGCGTCCTCACCCCACCCCAGCACTCTTCTGCTCACTCGAGCATGTGGCATGTGGGAGAAGCAGGAGAGAGGGGGCACTGAGTTTCAGTATTGCTGGGGTTGTTTCTTTATACTTTTCACATTCTGTATCCCAATTTCTTAGAAGAATAAAGGACATTTTCATTGAAGCTCTGATATACTTGTCATTTTCATGTTTCACTGTTCCTCAGCCCGTTGCTTGCTTTCCATTTCAGTAAACCTTTCAGCCCCAAGTGTGGTGGCCTTTTCTGCTTGTGTATATTTTTATTACTTGAGTGGAGAGGGGCTTCTTTTAAAGGTCTGACTTGCCCGAGTGCCACCTCGCAGCTGGTAAGAAACCTCTGACTGCTTGTTGAGGTGCTGGGAAACATGCTCTTGTGCCTCTGTTGACACCCTTGGTTTGCACAGTCTTTGGCACTTTCCTGTATATTACACCTGGAGTTCTTCATTTCTACTCCAGACACCTCCTGGGGCCAATCAGGCACACCCTCCCTGTCGCCACCCTCCCCCCCCCCCAACCACCATCTTCCCAGCTGAGAGTCAGGGAGGTGTCTTGTCAGGCTTCAGGCAGCTCCAGTAGCAGAGCTTTGCTAGAAGGAAAGGAAGGCCAGGAAGGTTAGCAAAATGGTAGTGCTGAGGAGACAGAATCAGGAGGGTTAGAGAAGGGGTGGGAAAGAAAAGAGGCACTGGGGCTGTGTCAGGGCCAAAGAGAAGAGAGCAGTCTCCCAGTTTTCTTTCCAGAACAAGGGCTGTGCTGTGGGAATCACAATGGAGACCTCTGGTCAAGAGACATGAGAGTGGGAGGAGTAGAGTGTGTGGGGAGATCACTAGGTCATGAGAAGGAGGCTTAGAAGGAAGGATGTATATGGGCTGGGGTGGAGCTGGGGATGAGGAGGTGAGGAGGTGGACAGGGAGGAAAATGTTTTTTTTTTTAAAAAGAGAAAATATATTAATTTGGATGGAGTTGAAATACATTCTTAGTAAAGCATCACAAGAATGGAGAAGCAAGAATCCAATGTACTCAATTCTGATATGAGGACAATTGATGCTAGTACATGGTAGGGGGCAAGGAGAATGGGGGAGCAGAGAGAGGGAAGGAGGGAGGGAGGCTGTGGGGCCATGGTGTGTGACACACTTCTTGGGGATGGGATACTATTATTAGAGGGACGACTTTACCCAGCAAATGCAAGCAGTATAACCTGGCTCATTGTACCATCAATAATTGCCCAACAATTTAAAAAAAGAGAGAGAGAGAAAATATTTCAGATTGTTAAGTTAGCGAAGGAAGGGAGGTTTTCTAAATTTGTTCCCAGGAAACCAGTTGGTTCTTCATTGTAGTACCCCATGGAATAGAGGCAAGGTTGTTATTATTTAGTAAAACGGGGGGCAGGCACTTTTTCTTTAGATCAATGAACCAGTTACTCAAGAATTCTAAGAAAAATCCATTTATAATTAATTGAAGATAAAGTAACAGAGAAAACTCATGTAGCTTTAAAAGTTGAATATGGAGATTAAACCATTTTGTTCTTTCTGAATAGTAAGAAAAGAAAGACAGGAAAAGGAAGAGTAAAAACACTGGCCTGAGCAGGGAATAACCAGAGCCAAACCCTTGTCCACCCGTAGGCCGCCACTGCTGTCCCACAGGGTCTCCAAACAGCTGGGTAAATTCAGCTGCCCCACTCTGTACCTCTTACTCCACCAGTGCATCTTAGTCACAGGTCCCGTAATTTTACCTCACCTGTCAGCCAGCCAAACAGAACTGACCTGGAGCCCCTCTTCAGCCACTCCACCCTCTCTCAGTACTGACCAAACCAATAGGTGTCCATAAGCCTCATGGAAATGTAGGCCAGATACTGGGCAGATGCACCCTTATGACTTTTCAGGGGGAGGCTCCATAATTTACATGAGATCTAAAGGGGTCTGTATCTCCCCAAAGGGGCCCATATCCCCCCCCCAAAGGGCTTGGAAACCTTGTTCTAGCCTTTGTGAGGGCATGCTGGTTCTGAGACCACCTCCTCAGCTGCAGGGCCAGCCCAGAAGTGAGCAGCCCTTCCTTGCACTGTCAGAACACACATGTGGCTCCAGTAACACTTTCTGCATACTCAATAAATTTAGATCTCCCCTACAGATTGATGGCATTCCACTCCTTAAGTAAAACCTCAAGGTTTAAGTAAAAGCCTGCAGGGATGATGGTTCTGGTTAATTTTATTACCTCTAAGTTTAGGACTAGATCGGTAAGTTCATTCTTCAGCATCTTTGTTCTTGTCCCCAAAGAAAGCAGTATATAAGGCCATCACGTGGTGATAGGTGGGTGTATGTATACTGTTCAGGCTAGAGCTGTGTGAATGTTTATTCCAAATGCCAGTAAAAACTGTTTCCTAGACCTCTTCTTTAAGTCAAAACTGCATTTATAACAGCTATGAATAAGAATTTATAAATTAGCAAGTTCTTAAGGTATACTGTGGTTCTATTTGGTGTCATTTTAAAAATTTCTTTTATCCGAAACCCAGATATAGTGTTTCTTCCAAAGCTGTCCTGAGCGTCCTGGCACCCACCCTCTTCCTGTTTGGCCAGGACTCAAGGATTTCATCAGGCTTTATTTACAGCTTCTGAAAGGTATTATGCACAAGTGCTTGGGCCTGAGGAATAATTTCTGCAGCTCCCTCAACGTCTTTTCTCCCTTCAGAAGGGCCAAATTGGGCAGTGCCTGTGGCTCAGTGAGTAGGGTGCCGGTCTCATATACTAAGGGTGGTGGGTTCATAACCCAGCCCTGGCCAAGATGCAACCCCTCAAAAAAGGAGGGGGGGGCAAATTTTTTTTCTTAGACTGCAAAACCCCTCATGGACTTATTTCCAGCCATGAGGATGTGATTTTCTGCTTTCCAAAAAAATAGTAAACCACCTATCTTCTCCCTTTAACATTGCAGCTGAAAATTGCTAGTTAAGTGTCATTTGATTCTAGGCACAGTTCACCCCTTAAATAGTTCCAACTGCCCCGTAACTTACAAACATTCAATGTATGTTGCTTAGAAGTTTTTTAAAAATGTTCTAAATGATATTTAAATGGGGTTCCTGCTGAGTGGGATAGCTCATGCCTGTAATCCCAACACTTTGGGAGGCTGAGGTGGGATTCATTGCTTGAGGCCAGAAGTTTGAGACCAGCCTGGGCAACATAGCAAGACCCCTTCTCTACCAAAAATAAGTTAACTTAGCCAGACATAGTAGTGTGCTACGTACTAGGGAGGTTGAGGCGGGGAGGGTTACTTGAGCCCAGGGGTCCAAGTCTGCAGTGAACTTTGATTATACCACTGCACTCAAGCCTGAGCAACAGAGCAAGACCCTGACCCTCCACACACCCCCAAATTAGGATTCTATGAAACTAATAATTATGCAGAGAACTCTTTTGACTTAATCCTCATTTAATATTTTTTCAAAATTCCATTTTTCTATCCTAGCTATTGTAGAAAACAACTAATTTATAAGGTATAATTTTCTTCATTCTTTTTTTTTTTTTTTGAGACAGAGCCTTGAGCTATCCCCCTGGGTGGATGCTGTGGCATCACAGCTCACAGCAACCTCCAACTCCTGGGCTCAAGTGAGTCTCCTGCCTCAGCCTCCCAAGTAGCTGGGACCACAGGCACCCACCACAACACCCGGCTATTTTTTGGTTACAGCCATCATTGTTGTTTTGGCGGGCCCGGGCTGGATTCGAACCTGCCACCTTAGGTGTATGTGGCTGGTGCCTTGGCCACTTGAGCCACAGGTGCCGAGCCTTCTTCATTCTTAATACATGTAATTTTTTTTTTTTTTTTTTTTGCAGTTTTTGGCCAGTGTTTGGATTTGAACCCGCCACCTCCAGCATATGGGGCTGGCGTCTTACTCCTTTGAGCCACAGGTGCCCCCCATACGTGTAAATTTTTTAAGTTTTCAGAAGTCTTTTTTGAAATTTAGTGGAATGAAAAGTGTAAATAATCAAATCCTACTCGTCAGTCTTTACACAGTGCTGTTGATAGTATGAGTTTGGCTCAGGAGGTTTTCTTCAAGTTATATTTTAAAAAATCCTCAATAAATTTTTCTCTTGGGACTTACAAATATGTCTTAAAAGAGGGGAAAACAGACTAAAGTTCCAGTTCCTTTCATTTGATGTAATGGTTTTTCAGTGTATAATTTGTAACATCATTCTCCATTATTTCATAGGCATGTTTTTCACAAATCCTGTGTGGATCCCTGGCTTAGTGAACATTGTACCTGTCCTATGTGCAAACTTAATATACTGAAGGCCCTGGGAATTGTGGTATGTTTCATCTTTTGTTACTACTTTCGTGTAGTACTATATCTTAGTGTAATGTAACTTTTAACACATTTGACATAAAAGAAGGCATGATTACCTCCCACAAGAAAGCAGACTTGCTTTGCCATATAAACCTGTTAGTCCAACAGTGCCTTTCTTCAGATTACTTAAAAGTCTCTCTCTAACCCATCTCAGGGAGCTCCTAAAAGAGAAGATAAATAACTCTACTAGTCCACTATTACAAGTGTGCCTTTTCTGGGTAGTGGGTGTGGAGTGTAGAACTGACAAAGAAAGAAGGATATTATTTTCCTTCACTTCTAATATCTTGAAAAAATAATAGGATCTAGAATGTTGACTCTGGTCGACTAGTAATCTTTCCTACATTTTGCATAATTAAAACTATATGGTTGGAGGTCACCACAACATGAGGAACCGTATTAAAGGGTTGTGGCATTAGGAAGGTTGAGAACCATGGATATAAACTCTTCCTAGCTCTTCTTCTCATATGCTATCTGTGATTGCCAGGGAAACCAAACATCCACATTGTTAAACTAAAAGAATGTTGTACTCACTTTTTAATTAGTAGACTTTGGCCCCAAGCAGCTCTGTATATCTCCTTCAGGACTAGGTGGTTAGGTTTTGAAACAGATGGTTTTCTTAGTTTGATCTACTTCTGGTTGTGTGCTTTCCTTATATTTAAAGGTAGAAGATACCGGCCAGGGATGGTGGCTCACGCCTGTAATCCTATCACTCTGGGAGGCCAAGGCAGGTGGATTGCTTGAGCTCAGGAGTTGGAGACCAGCCTGAACAAGAGCAAGACCCCATCTCTACTAAAAATAGAAAAATTAGCTGGCATTGTGGCAGGCACCTATAGTCCCAGCTCCTTAGGAGGCTGAGGCAAGAGGATCACTTGAGCCCAAGAGTTAGAGGTTGCTGTGAGCTGTGATGCTATAGCACTCTTGCCTAGAGTGACCGAGTGAGACCCTGTCTCAAAAAAGTAAAATTTTAAAGGCAGAAAATATTACAGATTGACTATCAGGTAACTGGGTATTACAGAGAAGTAATGAAATGACATATTACCTGCTGTTCCTCAGCATAAACATTTAATTCTAACTGAAGTAATATAGTTCACTGTTTTTTAAACTGAATGTTTGTCAGCTTTAATTATGCTTATGACTCCCTCTCCCTGTGTACCATGTCATTTCTTTATAAAGATGCAGTGGCCACTTTTTTTACATCTGCAGTGGATTTTGGTTTTTCTTTGTACCATTTTTGGGAGGAGATTACGTCCTCCTCTTCCTTTTGAAGAAAACCTGTTGGGTGAGGCTAAAATCAAGTAGGTAGATGGACAGAGAAATGAAGAGGAAATCTCATGGGAGAAACTTTAGGTCTTTGCAATAGAATGTCAAACATTTAAGAGTTTTATAAACAAATTTGTTATTCTTACAGTTATTTTTAATCTGGAAATATTTTGCAGCCAAACATGCCATGTACTGACAACGTAGCATTTGATATGGAAAGGCTCACCAGAACCCAGGCAGTTAACCGAAGGTCAGCCCTAGGTGACCTTGCCAGCGACAGCTCTCTTGGCCTTGAGCCACTTCGAACTTCGGGGATATCACCTCTTCCTCAGGATGGGGAACTCACTCCTAGAACAGGAGAAATCAATATTGCAGTAACAAGTAAGTGGAGACCCTCTGCTCAGGCCCAGGGTGGCATTAATGCTTGTGTCAAGTACATGGGGACTGTCGAGAGAAGAGGTGAGGTGATTGCCTGGGCCTGGGACTCAATTTGTGTACTTGTGTTAAAACCAACCTATAATAATGAAACTTTCTTTATAATAAGGAACTTGTGTATTTATGTGTAAATAATAGGAATAGCTGCATTTGATGAGTAGTTGTTCAGAGGTTTGTCTTAGTTGCTGTTGTACGAACCTTGTTTTGAAATCCTGGGATTCCCAGTAGGCGTTTTAAAGGGAGATGATGGCATGTGACGTGAGCCATCAGCAGCCTCTCTGGTATGTTGTGTAACTGTGAGCACTGGCACTCTCCATCTCCCAGACTACAGGCAACTTAGCAAAAAACTAATCTAGAATTTGAATCTAAAAACTCATTTCTCCAGAAACAGTTGAGACTGCCTGTTGCTCATTTTATTTTGTAGTTTTTGTGGAAGTTTGATCTCTCAGTACTTAACTTTGGTATATTTGGTATAATTATATATGTGGCAGGAGAAAAGCCAGAAGGTAATCTGCCTCAAAAAATGTTCTGGGCTGGTTATGAGCATCTTGCCTGATGAACTGTGACAAGCAAAAAGGAAATGCGCCGAGGGTTTCAGTGGCCTCCTAAGTGTGTGTGGTGTGCGTGGGCAATGTGTGTGTGGGCATTGTAGACGTTAACCCCGTAACAAGCCAGCTCTTCCCTTCAGTTCCATTCTCTATGTGTTATGTTCATCTAACAAGCTCTCACCACCTTCCTTGTTGCCATCTTGGTGCTGCCTTTCCCAGTACATACTGCTGCTTGCCTAGAACTCCAAGCCCTGAAGCTGATGGGACTCCACTGAACTCAGGGTGTCAGCGAAGCATCTAAGAGTGGTTACAAAATATTTTCCCTTTGCACATTAAGACGCATGCAGTCTGTTCAATTGAAATATTCATGTTTTTAACCAGCTATAAATTATTAGAAAACTATTTCTCAGGTTTTATTCTATCATCTGTCTAAACTCAGAGTCTTCATTCAGTTATGAAATAAGTAAAACTATTGATTGAAAATAGGCTCACTTCTTACTATTTATCGATGACTTAACGGCATTTCATGGGTTTTCTACTTTGATATTTAGGTTTTATGGTGTAGGTTTTTATAAATTCATCTAGTGGTAATAAAGGAGACAAAAACTATTTACTAATTAGTTATTTTAGGCCCTTCATTTATCAGACATTTATTGAGCACCTACTAATTCTTCATTAAGTACTGATACCATTATATTTTATATAGAAACGTACTTCATATACCAATTAATCATGCATGTTTATCATAATTTACACATGATGTTAATAAATAAAATTCATGTAATTAAACTAGGCCACAGCTACCTCTGCTTTTCCCTCAAGGCCCTGTAGCGCTATAGCAACCACAATGCATTTGACCAGCACCTGCTGTGTGCAAGGCACTGTGCTAAGTGGAGGTACCGGGGACGACAGAGGTGGCCAAGCCCGGCTGCTCAAATGCCTTTGGGCATACTGGTTACAGTCATAATAATGTTTACTTCTTTTTGGTCACTAGTTTTTAAAACTGAAATCCGGTATATTCAGAATTTGGAAACATAGACATAATTGAAGTTCTGAAGGTTAGTCTGCATATCATGTATAAAAGTTTCTAAGAATAAAAAAAGCTAAAATGCTATGTTCAGCTCCACGATGTTTATGACCACTCATCTGATTTTTTTAAAGGCCTGTATACCATAACTTTAAAAATATTATAGGTAAAAATGGTGGATTTCATATGTATTCTTATGTGTTCATTTTGATTATATAAAAAACTTCAGTCTATTGATGAGGAAAGGTGTAATCTAGGAGGCAGTGGATGTGTTATAATCTAAAAATAGAAAGTTTACTAACCATTCTAATAATATAAACCAAGGTGGGTGGAGAAATGCTCATAGAAGAGACTCGGCATCCTGGAACCCTGAAGACCTCTTGGCCTTTCGAAGGTCACTACCTTTAAAATGTCATAAAGGTATAATAACCTTTTTCTAGTTAAAAAAAAAAATGCCTATGTTCACACAACTTTGTGTGCCGTTTTAGGATTTATGGAACCCAGATTAAGAAACACAGGCTATGGCTTGGCACCTGTGGTTCAAGCGGCTAAGGCGCCAGCCACATACACCTGAGCTGACAGGTTCAAGTCCAGCCTGGGCCTGCCAAACAACAACGACGGCTGCAACCAAAACACAGCCAGGCATTGTGGCGGGCACCAGTAATCCCAGCTACTTGGGAGATGGAGGCAGGAGACTCACTTGAGCCCAGGAGTTGGAGGTTGCTGTGAGGTGTGATGTCACGGCACTCTACCCAGGGCGACAGCTTGAGGCTCTGTCTCAAAAAAAAAGAAAAGAAACACAGGCTATAATACAGCTTTTGCCCATAAACATTTGACATTCCACATATAAACAATTTCTTCCTTCTGCCGTCTTGCACATGTACAGGGTGGTCATAAAGTTCGTGTGCAATTTAAAATAGTTGTCTATTTGAATTGCACACAAACTTTATGGCCATCCTGTATAAGTAATCTTGCTTTGTAATACTTTGTTAAACCAGCCCTAGCCAGTCTCTATGCTAGGAAATTTTTTTTATGCTAAGAAATATTTTATAGTTAAGACTTTCTAGAAAGTCAGATTGGTTCTCAGATAATTTTTGAGATTCTCAATAAATACAGTTTTTAAATAACTGTCACTGTGACAATATAGTCAACATAGGCTCTGAAAAGTTAGGGGAAATATCTGGAAGGAGAGAAAGACAGACAGACTAGGCAAAAGTTCATAGAGTTCCATGTACCAAAGATTTTGGTATTTTTGTGTAAATATTATAACCTTAACCCTCACATGTGAGAGAGGAGCATAAGCCATGGATGCACCCACAGAACCTTAGAGAACCACCGCTCCATATCTCTGAGCCTTTTTCTAAGAAAGAATGGTAGAACAGTGCAGAAATAACAGTATAAAGAAGAAATGAAGGTTACATATATGGTTAGTACTTTACTGTTATTTAAATCAACCATGGAAACAGTCTGTGTCCACGTGCACCTTGATGGACATATTTTTACTGCACACTTTTGGGTGGCCACACTCACAGACCTCAGCGCCTAAACTGGAAGAAGTGGTTGGGCCTTGCTTTCCTTTCTCCCTTGCAGCTGTCATCAGTACGTCCACTAACCTTCTCCAGTTAGTAGCTCTCTGGCAAACTTCCTCCTGCTGCACTTCCTTGGGCCACTCTTGGCTTACACCTCCGTTGACGTCTGCTTCGTTGCATTTGAGGGAAATGTTGACATCGATTTGACTTAAGCCTTCTCCCCAGAGTGATTTCCTCCCTTTCCTTTGTCGACAGAAGAATGGTTTATTATTGCCAGCTTTGGCCTCCTCAGTGCTCTCACACTCTGCTACATGATCATCAGAGCCACAGCTAGCTTGAATGCTAATGAGTAAGTAACAAATTGTTTGTTGGATTGCATGTGCCAGACGATCCCAAGCAAACACATAGAATGATTTTCAGGAGCATAGCAAGAATTTAATTTTTCTCAATTTAATACTGGTCCTGATGGGATCATATCTAGCAAAATAATTTATTTCATGAACATATATTTTCTGTCAGTTACACAGATTGGGAATTTACTTTGTTCAACAAACAGATCATTTGAGGGAAAATCTAGAGGTTTTCATTAGTTTTCATTAGTCACAAGCTTAGAATGAATCAACAATTTTGTATAGATGCCAAGGAAACCAGTCTAATCTGTGCATAAAGAATGTCAGTGTTGGCTCAGTGCCCCTAGCACAGTGGTTACAGTGCCAACCACATGCACTGAGGCTAGCGGGTTTGAGTCTGGCCCTGGCCAGCTAAACAACAATGACAACTGCAACAAAAAAAATAGCCTGGCATTGTGGCAGGCACCTGTAGTCCCAGCTACTTGGGAGGCTTAGGCAAGAGAATTGCTCAAGCCCAAGAATTTGAGGTTGCTATGAGCTGTGACGCCACGGCACTCTACTGAGGGTAACATAGCGAGACTCTGTCTCAAAAAAAAAAAAAAAGCAGTGTCCTTGTCATTGCCAGGGACAGCCCTGCTTTACTTTTGCTCATCAGATCTTATCTGAAGTTTACCCATCAGCTTTTGGCGAGGCCCTGGCACCCTCGCTGTAGTTCAGGCACAGTGCCTTGGGTGTTTGGCCTACAGTAAGAAACAATCAGAAAGATGTGCTGCTTCTAAATATTGGGAAGACTATCCAGGACAGAGAAAATAATTATAAACTCCATCTCCAAAAGGAGGCTACAAGAAGGCAAGTTTCACCTAAGTTAAAGAAAGAACAACCATCAGGGAAGCTACTTACTAGTGGGATGATTTCCTATGGGGAGGGCCCAGGACTAGGGATGCAGGCAAAAGCTGGTGTCATGGTTTCCAGAGGGTAGAAAATTGGGCTAGATGACTGCTAAGGTCTATTTTGATGCAGTGATTTTTCAAGACTAGCTTTCCACAGGGATAAAATGGAGAAAAGGTTTTTTATTTTTGTTTTGTTTTAAATTCTAGCATTTACTTCAGGATATTATTCAGTCCTTTCTTTTACCAGTTTTTGGGAAAACCAATTAAAGATGAAAGCAACCCTGGGTTACTGCCTAAATTTAAACCTAAATTGGTACTGGTGGAATTCATGTGCTCACTATATTCAGTTATGTTCTGACACTTTAATTCATGAATAATAACCAAACAAGCTCATGTGTTTGATTTAGTTGACTGTCATTGTCTAGCAGTAGAAACAATGGGCAGATTATCTCCACTTTTAGTGAGTTCTTACTACATCTTACCTGATCTGTTGCCAGAGACTAGCAAGAAGTGACCCATGACAGGGAGAGTGTCACAGCCAGCTGGCACTCTCCACTGCTCCGATGAGTAGTCTCATCCTGCAGGTAGACACTAGCCACCTCTGGTAGGCCACCCAGTGTAGTTTCCTTTCAACACAGCAGACCTGAGGGTCAGGAGCACCTGGCTTTGTCTCCTTTTTCCTCCATTTTTCAGTTTTGAGACCTGGTAAGTTATTATCTGACACTCACTTCAGTTATCCATAAAACAGGTAATGGTAGGGTTGCCCTCGTTGTGAGGATTAGCATATAAAGTGCTTAGCACAGTGCCTGGTACATAATAAGTGCTCAATAAATGTTAGCCATACCCATGCTGCAGATATTCTGTCAAAGTTCTGCGGAGAGGATGGCCATCTGCCTTTATCGTTTGGCAAATGAATTTAATTTCTTCCATGAAATGGGATATAGAACCATAGGAGTTCTGTGAGTACTAATGGTTCAAACCCCAGTTCAGAAGGAAATATCCATTCCACCTGTGACCACCACTCTCTCCCACTGCTGCACTGACCCACCAGGCTGGGTCCTGATTTGAGCCCATTTCATAGAAACTTCACAGATGAGTGATGACCCACACAAGCAAATAGTGACACTTTGAACTTTCAGAGAATTAATGAGAAATTAAATGGTTGCCTGGCTGCCACTCAGAATCTCCCAGATGCTCAGTCCATGCATCAAGTATCTTGGAGAATGCTCAGTAGACACATTGCCTACTGCAAAGCAGTGCCTGGGCATGACATTTCCAGTCCATGCATGGGTGCCTGCATGATTCAGAGCCACATCATAGATATGAGATCCATGGCTTAGTCCGGCCCTTCTCTCATTAGCTTTCTAGTGGGTTGGTTTTCTGATTGTTCACTTGGATATGATTTCTGTACCTTCAGTTGAAACCACTCTGAAGGACAATATTCATGAGAGAGAGTGTGTGTGTGCATGTGTGTGTATATATACATGCATAGTGGTGCATGAGAGGATGGTCACCAGAATATTAATGGTGATTGTCTAAAGGTAGAATTTGGGAGAGAAAATAATTTCGAGTATTAATTTTCAATGTATCCTTTTGTGTGTTGATTTTCAAACAGTAAGCATGAATTATTTAGTTTTTTTAAAGGCCATTTTTATTGTGCAGGATAATAGAAAAGATAATAGTCTCTCTTAACCAATGTCTGTTTCTCAGAAATGTTGATGAAAAATTCCTATGTGATTTAATTCCAGAGAAGAGTTTTTCTCTAGCAAATTTGCAGTTATTCTTCATTATGAATCTTTTAAAATCTATCTTATTTCTCTTTTTGCCTTTACCGAGAAACTTAGCACCAAAATAAGATCTTTTTTTTTTTTCATTATAATTGCCCTGGTTTAGTTTTCCGGGTAACCTCATCCATTTGAAAAATAGTCTCAGATATAAACAGATTCCACCTTTTGGCATTTAAATTGTCTGAAAATTGGTAATGAACTTCACTTCTGTAAGCTTATACCTGCTCGAGTAGTTTATTTTTCAGACAGTTATACTAGTCACTGATCTTGTATAGTACAATTTCAGCAAACCACTGACCCAGTCTAGTCGCTTGTGAAACCCTCTGGGCAAGATACAAGCCAGGCATGTGAGATGCAAGATGCAAGCCAAGCAGCTGGGCTTTTTACCCACACTGCCTTGTTTACCCACACTGCCTTGTTTCATACATAATACAACCCAGGTTGGCTGGCCATTGTAAGAAATAATTTTTTAGTGCTTGCTTCAGCAGCACATATACTAAAATTGGAACGATACAGAGAAGATTAGCATGGCCCCTGCACAAGGATGACACGCAAATTTGTGAAGTGTTCCATATTTTGAATAAAAGAGTTTTACCTGTGACGAAAAAGAAAAGAAATAATTTTTTACCAGGTAGTCTACGTTCCCCCTGAAGTGAGTAGATTGCTGACTGCACAGGGTGTGGCCAGCAAGGGGTGCGAAACCCCTGCCCTTTCCTCACTCCCTATGCTGCGTCCATTTACCCAGGGCCTCATAATGCTGACTGTGGTCAGAAGGCCAATAAATAAATGGCCATGTGTTTGGAGTCACTGCCCTTCTGTTATGATGAAATACTATTTATTTAAATACTCAACTGTGACTAATTGTGTGCTAAATTTTTTTAACACTGCAAACAAATCTGGTGACTATTGAGACTTTGAAAATATAGACAGATGGTAGTCAAAGAAGCAAGTAAATGCAAGGTAAATATATTTATGTTTTAACTTCTCATACCTCCGTTTCTTAGTTACCCACCTAACCAAGGTTATTGGATAATAGTTCCCAAGGTTGCTTTACTTTTTTTCGCTCTATTTTTCCCTTAATTTAAGAAAAATAAATATTTTCATTATTTGAGAAACAAATCCATGGATGACGCAGAAGAGATTTTAAGCTGAGTATGAAGTTTAACTAGTTACCCCTAAAGCCCTTTTTCAGTTTCTAGATTCTGATTCATAGAAATTATGTCCTAAAATTTGTAGAATCTTATAGCCCAAGCATTCAAAATTCAAAACAATCTTGGCAGGAGGAAATGAATCTGATGTGGTTAATGTGATGAAGTAACTGGAACAAATGCTCCTAAAGCACAACTAAGGTCCAGAACCCCTGGCTTCTTGCTGCAAGCCAGTGGGCTTAGGTTGTCCCACTGGTATTCCTGATTTGCTGTTCTCCTTTTAGGTGTAGTAGTAGATCTGAACCAGCTGCCCTTGGCATATGGGGCCAGCACCCTGCTCACTAAGCCATAAGTGCTGCCCCTGAGGGTGCTTCTTATGCTGTAGTTCTGGAGCCCTAGAGATATCTTCAGGGAGGTGGACTTCCACTTAATATAAAAAATAATTTTTTACCTGTGAGATTTATCCATCTTTACATGGGATGCTTTGAAAGCTAGTGAGCTTGCCAGGACCTGTTATTCAGATAAAAGGTGCAAGGCTAGAACTGTTCCACATCAAGGGGAATCTCTAAGACTCCTTCCAACTCTAAAGCTCCCTCTTGGATTGTTCTTTCCTAGGAGGGATCAGAGCCCAGGGAGAAGGGTTGAGTTCTCTTCCAGTGCCTCTCCCACTGTAAGAGATAAATTTTACTTTGTGACCCCATACTCCCATGTATAACTGAAATAGAAATTTCACAGCCGTTTCCTTTACTTCATCCAGTATTCTCTGATATTATTCATTCTGTACTTTGTTTTTGTCGTTAATACTAGTTATGAACTTATACTTTGATTTATACACCATTAATAGTTTATATCCTTTGGTTTGAGATACTGGTCTAAAGATACTGAATTTTTAGTCTTCTACTCACACTAGGACTTACCATTGATTGCTTTTATTTTTCTGAGACTTACTTCCTTATACCATTTCCATCAAGGATTTAAATTTGACCTCTATTTGAGATATACACTGATACTGCTGGATAATGAATCTTCTTTTTTCTCTTAGTATTTATTTCTCCATTTAGCCATTCTGAGTATGAGATGTGTATATGTATACACACAGACAAGAACAAACATTGGCTTAGAGTGATTGAGTGACTCCTGAGAGATGCTATAGGAAGAAGGGCATTGGAATTTAACCCAATACTTCGGGTTCCAGCTTTTTCCTTTATACTGCCTGCCTTTGGCCACTACAGAGAGCCATTTAAGATGATTCCAAATGATGTGATTTGGAAGAAGACAAATTTGGTTTTCTAAAAATGTGATCCAAAAAGAGCATTAAAGGCAACAGTGGGCTCAGCGCCTGTGGCTCAAGCGGCTAAAGCGCCAGCCACATACACCTAAGGTGGCGGGTTCGAATCTCCAGCCTGGGCCCGCCAAACAACAATGATGGCTGCAACCAAAAAA